CGGTATTGAGCGCACAAGGTAGGTGTGAAGAAACAACCGTTCATGCAGTTAACCTAATTACTTCAACTTCGGTGCAAAAACGCACAATCGCACCGATTCGCCTGGTGCGTTCCTGCCTGGGTTCAAATTGATAAAAGGGAATGAGAAAGCATGGAAACGTTACGGGACTTTCACAGTGCAATAAAAGAGGATGTCTTGGTCTCATGCGGCACTTCTTTTCATGGATGCAAGCGCAGAGCACTCACTAACAATGACGATGCGCTGGCCTTCTCGAGGAACCGTATGCTGAAGGTCAACTGACAAGCCACCATACCAATTATACAGCACTCTTTATTTTCGACACTGAGTGGCAAAACGCGACCTAATGACAGTAAAAATGGCAAAATCAGACTGTCCGGCAACACGTATCTAGTGTCAACTAAGATGCTTACCAATTCTCCAAGAAGTCGGCACTTGGACAGTTGCATTATCCTCGCTTGTTTCATCACATACACTGCCAACGAAATCAAATGAGAGGCAATTTAAAGAAAGTTGCAACAATCCATTAACTGTGGAAAGCTAAAAAACAAATCAGCTGGACGAATGACAATTTTTTCAGATCACATTTAACCCCATTTTAAGTCTTTTCCGTCCACCCTAACCCAGTTCATTTGTGGTCGCTCATCCCACTACCTTCCCATTCTCGTTTTTATGCGTTTTTAGCATCTATGCAATGCAGAAAACGCAAAATTGTCGAGTGTATGCTTCTTTACCGATTTTTCATCTCGAGACCTATAAAAGCCACAGGGCTGAAACTTCGAGAACTTAATCTATATGCATGTACGTCCCAAGCCCCAAAATGGGCGCTCTTACTCAAGTGGTTTATCCGTACGGGCCCGCCAAAGTTTTTGACAGCCAAGCTGCAAACTCGAGAAACAGAAAAGCTAGAAAGCTGAAATTTTAAGGGAATGTTCCTGCCCACGTAAAACTTAATGATTTCAAATTCAACCCCTTGTGTGCCCGGTTCCCTCGTATTTACTCATGAAAGTATTTTACGGGTAATTTGTTAACTTGAGAACCTGAAAAGGTAGAAGGCTGTGATTTTAAGGGGATATCCCCCTTTTACGCGGGTTCTAATGCGTTCAAACCCAGCCACCAAGTATGCGTGGTCCCCACGAATGGGTCCGTTAATGTCTATTACGAGTAAGTTGCTAATTCGAGAGAATGATAAGTTAGAAGGCTGTAATTCCTCGCCCACGTCGGTACAAACGAATTCAAACTCGGCCCCCGGGTATGCGCGGTTCCCATGTACGGGTCCGTAAAAGTTTCTCGCGGGTAAGTTGTCAACTCGGGAACCTGAAAAACTAGGAAACTGAAGTTTCAAGGGAATGTTGCCAGACAGACCCAGTGGCCAATTCCAGTTCTCCTAGCTAGAAGATTTGCCGGAAAAACAGTGAGGTTAGCGACAAAAACCTGCGGGGAACTATGCAAAAAACGCATCTTCGCACCCGCAGTCGGTGCGCTGGTCATTTATATTTTTGTGACAACTCAGCTCGCAGACATCATTATTCAAGATTCCACATTATTCACAATTGACCCGGGTTTATCTGCTTATGCAGTTTCAATAAGAAGCGCAGGTTGTATTAAAACTTTTTTATGCTTATGGGATAGTACAGAAGCACTACCAACCCGTTAAACGCCTAGATTCAATAGCCGTTGCTTTTTCCCATAAAAATTTTAAAGGCTTTAGTTGCAGCTTTTCAAAAAAAGTCGCGTCGTCCCTTGAAAAACATACCTGCCTTGGGCTCGTACCACCACTCACAGTTTTCTGGAGCACTGAAGTGGATAATTTGAAAATGTCAAATAGATGCTCATCACGAAAAATGGTTGCCGTCTTCCGCTGTTTTATAAGTGAATCAAAACCTGCCGACTAAAAAAACAAGTATGAAACATCGGACGACACAGGATCAGCAAACCACGCGCACGCCGCTCAAAGAATATGCGCGCTGAGCACTGTTAATACTTAACAGTGGTTAAATAATTTACGCTTGATTCTATGTCAAAATCGACGCAGCTTTCATCAATCCTCTTCTTTTTCCCAAGAGAATATGTACAACAATATATTTACTGATAAGATAAACTTGAAGGAGTATGGCTACCAAGAATACCGAGATTAGTTGAAAAATCCAGGTCGGCATCTCATTTTGGTGATGCTGCTGGGATAGTACCCGCGGCGGATTTGTCCTGAGCTACATAACTCCAGCTGATAGTCACTCCCTGTCTCGAACTTCCAGACGCTACGTGAATGGTTGTTTGCTCTCTAGGAACTGCCATTCATTGATGTGCCAAGTCCATCGCATGTCAGCAAGCCCAGAGACGCATCCTGCCGAACAGTTCTTTATATCCAAGCGCACGATCGCAAAAAAAACCCAGCGACCCTTTCACATCCAGCAATTCCTGGCTAAACAGTACGGTACATGTTTACTTTCAGAGCGATACATGCTTAACTGGTAACTCCTTTCAGGTCAAAGCCCGTATGTAATTCAACTGCGAACATGCTGGTACTTGAATCACTTTCGCCTGTGCTGCGGCAGTTTGTAGGCTCACTTCCTCATTTTGTGTTTTAAGCCTCTGCAGCATCCAACAAACGCGCGTTACCCGAAATACGAATTAAAAAATATGCGTAGCGTAATGGCATAAATGTTCACCACTGATGTTCGGACTACTTTTCCAATTCAATTTATAATAAGATTTCAAGACAGGTCAAAAGAAGCTTGGACGTGCTTAGCTTCTCCTGCAATCTGTTTATGGGCTGAAGTTGACAAAAGTGATATAGTTGTCGAACAACGATGTTCGTTACCATGATGAATTTCACACAGTTTCCATCAACTTTCGTTAATAAAAGCTCCTGGCTCACCATTCAGCTCCACGCTGTCGAATGACATTTTGTAGCTGACAAGTAGAAGGTGAAAAGAGATCAGATCTCCCTTACTTATTCCAGAAGCTGATTTTAGTTGGAAAAATGGACTTGCTGTAATTCCTTCTGAATTTAATTTGCTTCCTTGGCTGTTGTTCACCGGGGAGTTTTGTTAGCCAGTTATTGAAAGCCTTCGTGAAAGGCTTGTACAAACACGTGACAGCAATCAGAAGAGACGGTAATTTTTCAGATCTTATAATCCCTCTGTAAATAAAAAATGATCTTCGATATCCTTCTGAAGGCCAGTTACCGGCAAAGAGAGTCCTCCGAATTTGACACTTCTCAAATATGAAAAGTTTTATATTAAGGCTATCAATGCTGAGGAAGTCTTTCCACTTCTCATTTGGAAGACTACAAATGCTATCTCGCTGACAAGTTGAAATAAAAATGCCGCAATATTAGCTAATGATGCAAACGAATTTGTGAATAACTTTCTACATATTTTTCACATCTGTCCAGCCCGTAACCCGCCTTTCATTCTCATTTTTAGCAGACACTGCACGGTAAAACAGCAACAGCTCTTTCCTGCATTTTTTTAAATTCTGCTTCTTTCTAAGCCGGTAACGACTAGAGTATTCTTCTTCCCTTCAGCCTTCGTACGATGTATCTCTAAAGCGAGAGTACTCAACGCTTAGGTGGCTGTCAGCCTGACCAACGGTTGGTTGAATGTAAGTTCAGCTCCTCCTTATTTGCTTCATTCCACACTGCTTCTCATATCCCATCGTACAGCACACATTCTGAGTTTTTCGAGTAGGCGCACGACCTTTAATGTACTTACCAACCGCTAGTCGGGTTGACAGTGGCTCGTACCATCCAAGCTTAGGTGAACTACCTGAAACAGTTTTTAATTTATAGTCTCGATCTTCACCTATGCAGCTGGCAGTTTTTGTACCAACTACTATCTTCTGATTTTCGCATTCACACTACTCCAAACAAATAACCACTGTCAAATAACCAGATCTATCCTTTACCACTGCCAAATAACCAGCCCAACTTCTCATCCTGTTACACATCTCTTTCATCGCCTTTCATGGCAGAATATGACTGTAGGCTCCACATTACTATCTGTTGTCATCTGCTAACAACAAATAATCGCCTCCCCACTTATCTTTCTTTCACAGCTTTCTTCTTCTGTGAGAGTTGCATTCTCCCATTTTGTAGCGCAGCCCAGGGAAGACAGTGATATTAAAACGCTCTGCCTTTGTGCGAAAAAGCTTTACCTAAAACGATTCCAAGTTTGGTGAATGCAACCACACTGCTCTTCCCATTCGGTTCAACTCTGCATACGAATTGCCATTCTTCTGCATCGTTTGCATCAAACATATGTGTCTACAGCTCCGTCTTTCGGCTTTTCATGTTGTTCAGTTTCATGTTGTTCAGACCCCACGGACTATCAGCTGTGAATTTTGTGACTAGCAGAACTAATATTGATGCTCCACTCAACTGGTAGATTTCACAACGCTTACGCATTTTGCGCCATGGACGACACATCATATGCACATATGACATCCGAAGCTCTTCACCGCCTATGCGAAATAAATTGACTGCCTTCATCTTTCACAAAATTCCTTCCTTACGCATGTGAATGTTTTCGAGCAACAGCTATATTTTTGCTTCACACTTCGGCCGCTCGCGATTCTGAGCGATTTTCCGACAGGAGTCACTCGCATTTTCAAGTCCATTAAAGATTCCTAGATGATTTGCATGCACACGCTTTCAGCACTTTGTTCGGACAGAAACTGCAGCACGGCATATTCGCTGAATTGAAAAGCCTCTGGAAACTGATGAGAAAAAGGAATTTGTTTCCCCTGTAACGTTCAACAACCTGTATAGCTATGAAACTGTTGGCAACAGCTTTCGCGTTCTAACACTGCCTGCTCTCTTTCTGAGCTTTCATCAGATGATTCTTTTCTTCCCAGTTCGTGAAGAAACTAATTACGCAAACTTGGCCAGACGAAATGTAGCACAGTATTTTCTTGACATGATTGCAATTGTTAGGATTTGCATTCTCGCCATGCGTCGACACTGTCTACTTCGCTGCTACTCCCATAGCATGACAAGGTGCCAGGATCAGAAAATATGTGGGACGGGATTTGGTAATGAGAAATAAAAATACATAAAGTAATAATTCCGTTTCGCAGACTTGTTATTACAATTGAAAAGTTTTAGGAATTTCACAGGTAATACATACATTAACTACACGTATGTTACTAGGTTATGAATGCCACAGTATTCAGCTGCCTTTGCTCAGCTATGCTGGCATCGTAAGTTGCAGAAGAAAGGCCATAAAAGTAAAAAGCTGTGATCAAGGCGCTTCAAATTATTATGCATTAGATGGTTAGAAGGCAAGGCTGCATAAACAAACAGTAAGACGATAACGCCGTTGCTAGGCATCACAAATGCACGTCTTGAAATGCCCAAAAAATTTTCATAAAAGCTAAAAAAAGGTGAGTGCGGTTCAGGATGAACAAAAATGACAATGAATGGCTCTTTCTCTCAGTAATAAACCTGCTTTTTGTTTCCTTTCTGCTGGGTCAATCATGCTTAGAACTCCCTCAGCTCTGTCGAGCTATGCCTTGCAAAGTGTTTAACATGCGCCTAGCGAGATGCTCGATATTCATCCGAAATTTTGGAAACACTAGCTGGTGTTTTCCCGAACCTTTTGCAACAATTAAATGTGGCGGGAGATCGAAGATAATTATGCGAATCTTCCGAGAACAGAACCGAACTGAGAACACATTCAACCTGTCTTTATCTACTACCAAATTTTTTGAAGTGCATGACAATTATCTAGCTTTTTTTCCATTCTATTCACATTCTTTTTAAAATCTGTTTGCTACTGAAAACGCTAAGGACAACTTACCGAATTGATATCCGAAACCAGCTGCGCCAGCAACTGAACTGCTAATGGTCCTTTGTCCGAATTTTTCTGAAAGAAATAAATGGATTAACTAGTACCGGGAAGCAAACTGGTGTAGAAAATTTTGAGAGATTCCCACTCTAACAAATACATCGACTGAGAGTAGTACAAAGCACAAAATCATGTACTATTCGGGGTTAACCCCAAATAACCACGGAAAGCGTACCCGCACGTAAGACTCGGATGGTTTTAAGGAGCTGAATTTGAAATCTTTCAGTCGCAAGTGAGTAGGGAGCAGTCCTTAAAATTCATCCTTCTAGCTTCACTCGAGTTAGCAAGTTAGCAATTTTCCGAGTTAGCAATTTTCCTCCAAAACTTTCACGTGTTCCTACGAGAGAAGTAAACCTGCATGACAGTTAATGTCACGCTTCTAAGATGGAAGTCAGCCGGAGAACACACTGGCAAAATTTCAATATTAAAGTTTGTATGGTTCCCGAATAGAAATGCCCGGACAGACGAACAAACACACACAAACATATACAAACATACACACATACAAAAACACAAACATACACAAACAAGGTCATTGCAGCACGCGTTTTTACTGCCTGCTAAAGCACTCTAGCGCCACACAGCAAAAACGCATAAAAAGCTGGAAGCTACGTTTACTTTGCGCAGGAAATAAATATGCGCCATAATATCTAGTCGAAAATCGTACCACGAAGGGAAGGCAGAAAATCCAAAACTAACGAGACAATTTTGCCACAAGAAGTTAAAATATGACTTCTAAATTCAAGCTTCACAAGTTATTCTGCAGTTTTTTATGTGTTTTTGTCGCGCAGCGCCACAGTGTTACAAACAGGCAGCAAAAACGCCGCATATCGCGACGACCCTGCGTGTTCGTCTGTCCGGGTGTTTTTAATCAACAATCATGCAAGCTTTGATGCTCAAATTTTGCCAGTGTGTTCTTCAGGAACGTGATATTAACTATCATGCAAATCTACGCCTCGCATACGGGCACCTGAAATTGTGGCGGGAAAACTGTCAATTTGTGAAAGAAGAAAGATAGGCTGAAAGTTCACAGCAATGTTTTCTATTCATATACGACTAAAATATTTCAAAGTCACCTCCTTAGAACCGTCCAGGCACATGGACACGTCAATGTTTTGTCGGGAAAATCGCTAATTCCGGAACAAGGAAGGCTAGAAAACTGAAATTTGAAGGGAATGTTTCGTACTCATGTTCGACCGAAAGATTTCAAATTCGGGTCCTTAACACGCCCGACTTTCACGTCGGACAAGTGAAAATTTTGACGTAGAATTTAATAAGCTGGGAACCAGAAAACATACAAAGCTGGATTTTGGTGAAACGTTCCCCACTCATGTACGATCAAAAGATTTCAAATTCAGTCCCCTAATACGCCCAAGTCTCACGTAAGAACACGTGAAAATTTCGACGCGAAAGCTGCTATATCAGGGACGATCAAAGTTAGAAAGCTGAAATTTTAAGGTGACGCCACTTGCTCGCCTACATCTTAAAGATTATTTCAAATTTAGCTTTCAGACACGCACAGTACTCATGTGCCGGTAAATGAAAGTTTGGGCGATTGAATCGCCAACTCGCGAAACGGGAAAGTTGGAAAGTTGAAATTTTAACAAAATATTATCCTTCCAAGTAAAACGAAAAATTTCAAAGTCGGCACTCAGGCACGCGCGGTACTCACGCATGTGCAAATGAAAGTTTCCCCTCCTCTATCCTGTCTCCAATTCCCGCCTTCTTCTGTTTGTTGGGTCACTGAAGCCGACATCGACAATTGACACACCAAGCACAATCAACTTTGTGAACTCTGAGGACCAGTATGTCACAAATTCTAGCTGCTCAAATTCCAAGCGATCTTAATTTAGCACGAAAGAATGCAAAAAATGCATGGCCGCACCGGCCCGCCCGTTGTGCGTTGCCAATGATTTTAGGATGCTTTGACAATTTCCGACTGATTTTAACGCCATTTTCATAAAGTTAGTCTTCTTTCCGCTCTCCTGAAACCTTTTCGCAAAAATCTGCTTTTGATACATTTCTCTGTTCGCCTTATTCACTTAGTTATTCCTATTTTTCTTCCGCTTCTTTTTCACCCTTTTGCAAAAACAAAAGAGAGCTAACGAACCAATCTTAGATCATTCATCATGCTAAGACAATTATCTCGCAAACCATTCATAAAAATTCGGTGGGAAAACTTATAAAATTTATCCAGACCAGATTTTTGTAGCTAATCCATAAGAAGTTCCCGCTCTTCAGAAATCAAGAGTTTCGGACTTTTACAAACTAAAGCGTCAAGCAGTTCTGAAAGTTTAGCGGCTATCTTAGAATTGGCGAAATGTCAAAAATGATCATTCTAATCCTTTGTGTGATCCTCAGGAATCAAAACACAACTGTTCTGCGATTTTTGAGGAACTTAAAAAAAAGTACGTTCATTGTTCGCGACTGGATTATAGCAAGCTTTTTCAGGACAAATGACCTACTTCAGCATATTTGAGGATTGAGAAAAGCGGTTCACGAAACGGGAATGCATTATTGTCCGAATCGTAGTCATTCCAGCCAAGCTTCGTTATCCGCGCAAAAAGCTGGCACAACGATGTTAACACAAACGGCGGCAAACTCGCAGCCCTTTCGTCCAAATAAACCAATAAGTAAGAATCTAAAAAAAGCGAACTGAATATACCGGCATTTTTACCACATAATGTTATGCATCCAAGCACTGACAAAACACCTGAAAAGGTTAGAAGTTTTGAATTGATTTTTGCTCTTTCATAGCATTCATTGTTCATTTTTCCGGCTTCTCGACTAATCAGCCTGTCCTTCTCTGCCCCAATTACCGACTTCGTGAATCGGTTCTTGCATCTAATCTGTGAACCACAGCCTGATGTGATTATCCTGTTTAAACGCACCAGGCGGGCCGGTGCGATTATGAGTTTTTGCACTTTTCGTGACGTAGTAAGATCGCAAGGAATCACAGTAGCTAGCCCTATGACATACTGGCCTTCGAAGTTCGAGAAGTTAATTGTGCATCTGTGTGGTATGTCATTTGTTGATGCCGACTTTAGTGACCCGACAAATGGAAAGTTGTTGGTCCGCAAAAAAGGCCGCACTAGAGAAGTTTGAAATCTTTTGGTCACACATGAGTAAGGAACATTACCCTAAAGTTTCAGCTTTCTAGCTTTTTCCGCTCCCCGATTAGTAATTTCCGCGCCAAAATTTCCATGTGCCCATACGTTGGCCCCGCGTGCTTCTAAACACTTGATTTTGGTCGTACAAGAGTAGAAAACATTCTTCGAAAGTTTCAGCTTTCTAGCTCATCCCGTTCTGGGTAATTTTCGTGCCAAAATTTCCACGCGCTCGTACTTGGGCTCGGGTGCTTCTAAACACCTGATTTTTTTCTCGTACATGAGTGGGGAACATTGCCCTAAAGTTTCAGTCTTCTGGCTTTTCCCGTTCCCGGGTTAGTAATTCTCGAGCCAAAACCTTCAAATGTAGCGTACGTAGATTTCGGGCGCCTCCAAACAACTGATTTTGGTTGTGCATGAATGGGGAATATTCCCTTAAAGTATCAGCTTTCTAGCTTTTCTCGCTTCCAGGTTAGTAATTTTCGCGCCAAAATTTCCTCGCGCTCGCACGTGAACCCGGGCCCTTTCAAACATTTGATTTTGCTCGTACATGAGTAGGGAATACTGCCTTAAATTTTTAACTTGCCAGCTTTTCCCGTTCCTGGGTTAATAATTTCCGCGCCAAAATTCTCACGCACCCGTACGTGAACCCCCTCGGTCCTAAGGAGCTGAATATGAAAACTTTTGGTCGCGCGTGAATAGGAAACACTCCTTCAAAGTTCAAACTTTCTAGCTTTTCTCATTCTCGAGTTATGAATTTTCCCTCCATAATTTTCACGTGCCCGTACGTAAGCCTCGGGCAGCCCTGGGCAGCTGAATCTAAAAGCTTTTTGTCATACACAGGTAGGGAACATTACCCTAAGATTCCAGCTCTCTAGCTTTTCTCGTTCCCGATTTATCAGCTTTCCCGCCAAAACTTTCACGTGCTCGTACGCGGGGCCCGATGTGCGTGAGAGTTGATACCGCGGTCCTGGAGTGATACTTGGCTGGGGAACACACTGGCAAACTTTCAGCTTCAAAGCTTGCGTGGTTGGCAAGTTGAAATACCCGGACACACACACACACAGGCATACACACACACACACACACACACACACACACACACACACACACACACACATACACACACACACA